GATTCTCGCGAGAGGCGAAAAGGTCTATGTGGGGAAATCCCCACCTCCGGAAAATGGAATGAATCACGTCCGGGCTTATCGACCACTCGTGAGCCAGGAAGGACCTGCTGAGGTGATCTGTCAAAGTGTTCTGGACTCCTGGGAGAAATAACACCACCAGGTCGATTGAGTGGGCTATGCAAAATTCCCAGAGGTGTATGGCTTCCTGACAGAGGAGGGACAATCGCGCTCCGCCTTCTTTGTTGATGTAAAACATGGCCGTTGTGTTGTCTGTGAGGATTGTGACACAACGGCCCTGCAGATGTTCACAGAATACTTGACACGCCAGGCATACTGCTCTCAGTTCCCTGACATTGATGTGCAGGGTTATTTCTTGTGCGGACCAAGACCTTGTATGCGAAGGTCCGCGAGGTGAACGCCCCAGCCCAGAGCTGACGCGTCCGTGGTCAGGACTAGAGAGGGCTGTGGGGCAGGAATAGCATCCCCCCGCAAACCAGGTTGGGGTTAGCCAGCAACCTAGGGAGGATAAGACCTCCTTTGGTACTGTGAGTACTGTGTCCAAACTGACCCGGCCTGGACGGTAAACTGACGAGAGCCAGATCTGAAGTGGGCGGAGGCGTAGTCTGGCATGTCTGGTCACGAAGGTTCAGGAGGCCATGTGGCCAAGAAGAGCAAGGCACGTGCATGCCATCGAGGTGGGGAAGCCTCGGAGGCCGTGTATAATGGTCATCATGGACTGGAAGCGGGTCTGCGGTAGGCACACCCTGGCGAAATTCGAGTCCAGGACTGCCCCAATTAAGTCATACTGGCCTGGCCACATTCACAGGGGTAGAAGCACAAGTGGTGCTGCTGGCACCATTTTTATTCTTTAGGATTTAGTTGCTGACAAGCCACATTGGCTTGTATTGATTCAGCAGGCAATACAGGTGAGGTCAGGCACTTGGGTGGAGGGATTGTAGGGATCCCTTTTTCTTCTTCAAGTGCTTGCTCATATCGATTCCAATTAGGTGTGCGCACGCTGCGTGCACGGTCGTCAGAAGATTTTCAGGGGCGGGGGGGGGGGCTAAGGATAAAATAAAGAAATAGGGAAATTACAGCTAGAACTATAACAATGAGACTAACTAACTATAGGTATGTAGATTAAGACGATAGTCTTAACAGACTGCCAGTGGCTCCATCTCTAGCCAGTACAGTTGAGAAGGAACTGAGGAGGGTTTGCCCACGCACACTGGCTAGCCTCATGGCAGAGCACGAGGAGAGACAGCGCACGTGCGAGCCCAACAGACACTGCTACCAAAGTTCACAGCCTCTCTGATCAGCAGTGCAGGGAGGCAAGCACACTTACAGTGGAGTACCCATAGGGACCATAGGGACCATAGAGTCCATAGGGACTCTACTCGAAGACGACCAGGCACTGCCTGATCGGTAGGTACTGCTTCCCTTTCCAAGGTCACCAAATTGGAGGGCTTGGAATACAATCTGGAAATGGAGGGAAGCCCCATGGATTACAAAGAGGCCATTTGACAGACACAGCCCTCAGTGAACTCCTGGCCATCCACTCAGTGGTACTCCTATGAGAGGATCCATGGAAGAGTGGAAACATCTGGAGAAGGAGCAATGGCAGTGGCTCCGAGGATGAGAAATGTAGAACAGAACCTCTGATTCAGAAGACAACAGTTCTCCTTCCCTTGACCACAGAGGTGCAGTTTCAGACAATGATGCTGACTAGTGCTGAAGTGGAGAGGCCCACAGAGAAGCGAACATTGCAAGGTTTCCCTTTGACAGTATTGAAGGACAAGCAGTCAGAGGTACATCATGCTGGCACAATACCACGCATAGCAGCAATGCTGTCTGTTCTCCCATGTCTGCTGGCACCAACAATATCGATTCTTGTACTGTTGGCGATACCAGCATCAACAGGGTCAGGATGTTCCTGGCAGCCACAAATGCCTCCGGCATGGTCAATATCGGGATAGTGTCATTGTGGTGCCACAGATGCAGAAGGAGCTCCTTCTGGCTCCCGACTCAATGGAAACTGCCTAGGAACTGGAGTCAACAATGTCTTATTCTACAGTACCAAAGCAGGAGAGAGCTTGGGCTTGGACAGCAGTCTACTCTTATCCCCCTGCCTAGCAGAGTGTGGTGCCAGAGATCTCCCCCTTTTGGCAGTCTGCTTCTGATGCCTCTTCTTAGACACTGGGTGTCTTAGACACAGGGTGAGCAGTATCGAGACTCAGGAATGGTAGGAGGCACACTCCTTACTGACACTGAGGCATTCAGTGATGACTCTGACTAACCTGGCTCAGATGGAGATCTCAAGGACGCTTTCATGAGTACAAACTTTAGCCTGGCTTCTGCATCATTCTTCATGTGAGGTTTAAAGTCTCTGCAAATTTGGCAACACTCTCCAATATGAGCTTCCTGAAGGCACATCAAGCAACTTGAGCGCAGGTTGCTCATGGGCATAGCCTTATTGCAGGAAATGCAGGGTTTGAAACGGGGTGACCAAGGCATCCCTCGGTACTGGGAGTTGAGTGAAATCCTGAGATGGTAAAAAAAATCTAACTAACTAAACAAACACTAATTATTTACGAAACATGAAAACACAGTCCTCTGGGAGAACTTTCAAATACAAAAAGAGCATTTTCAGCAACCATCACAGGTGGTAAGAAGGGACTCAGGTGGCTCAAGGTTGGGTGGTCCCTTTATAGCTATACCAGCGGTGCACAGCAGCAGAAGGCATTCATGACACCGTGATGGGTACTACTGAGGGAAATTTTTTTTAGCAACTTTGCGTGAGATGTGCACACATCAAGCGTGGAATGCACATGTGCAGTGATTTAAAGGAGAACTAACATTTAACAAATACTTAACAATCTATTTACATTAGAGACTGTCTAACTATTTGCAAGTAACAATAGATGACAAACAGAGCTGAAAGAACTAGGACTTCAAGAAACATAGGGAGCTCCAACTCCATCACAACCAGTGAGATGGAACTGAGAGGGCGTTGGAGCAGCCCAGTCCTTATACACTTCAACTGTGAGCACAAGGACATAGTGCACATATGCATTCCTAATGGTAATGATAGCAAAAATCTTCAACTCTTGTGCACTGGTGACACATACACCCACAATGGAATGTATACATCTGCAATAACTTCAAGGAGAATGTCAAGGTTTCTTCCCCACTCTGAACTTTAGGGTACAGATGTGGGGACCTGCATGAACGACCCCCGCTAAGCTTATTTACCAGCTTATGTCACAGTAAGCTGCCACCACCAAGCGTGTTTTAAATTTTAGGGGAGAGCCACTTGGCACTTTGCCTTCCCCCAAATATTTCCCCAGTCCCTATCCCGCCCCCATTCCTGGCAGAATTGAGACTAACCCCCCCTCCCCCAAGTCCTTATATCCCTTTTCCTGGGTAGACTCAAGAGAATTCCCTCACCAATTCCCTGGTGAACACCGATCCAAAACCCTTGTATCTTAAAACAAGGAAAAATCAATCAGGTTCTTAAAAGAAGAATTTAATTTAAAGAAAAAAAAAGGTGAAAGGAATACCTCTGTGAGATTAGCATGCAAGATAATCTCCCAGACAAACAGATTCAAAACGCAGAGGGTTTCTCTCTGGGCAAAACTTTAAAGTTACACAAAAAAGCCCAATTTGATTCTCCCTCTATTTTGCAAAAGAAATTGCAAATAGAAATAAAAGTAATTTAATACATTCCTTCTCTAATTACTAGCTACCCTGGTAGGAGTGGGATGGTTCCTTCTCTCCGTCTGGCAAAAACACACACAGAACAGACAAAGACTTTTTTTTTCTCCCCCTTTTTGAAAGCATTTTGTCCCCACATTGGTCCCTCTGGTCAGGTGTCAGCTAGGTTATGTGAACTTCTTAACCTCTTACAGGTAAAAGAGAAATTAACCCTTAACTGTATGTTTATAACAGAGAACCACTGCTGCAAGGTGCTTTGGGCCAGTATAAGGAGAGCAGGGCCCATAATCACTTGCCATTATTGACTTCCAATCTGAACTCCAAAACTAATCCACAAAGCAATTGATATCAGGTCAAATGTGGAATAAGGAGCCAAAAAAAAAAAGAGAGAGAGAAAACAAGGGAAAAATATCACACATACAAGTCAGAAAAGACTCCTGAATTTAACTGATTATACAAAGGAAGGAAGCAAACCTAATAGCCCTGTCAAAAGGAAGGGCAGAGGAGTCAGTGACTGAACATGAAAACATTTTCAACTACCATTCTGTGCTTCATATACAATATACAATGCAGATGAAGGACCATCCTGTCTCATGTGCACCAGGGCCAACAAACCCATTAAAAAACATCTATTCTCCAAGATGACTATGATAGGGTGTATAGACTCCACTGATGAGGAAGGTGCCAGAGAGGTGGTGGGGGAAAGGATAGCCCCACCCCTCTGGTCTTGGCAGGGAGGAGGTCTTTTAAAGGGAGGAAACTGCCATCAGCTGGAGGGAGGAGGAGCAAGATTACCCTAAGTAGAAGGCTGCTGGAGTGACTCCTGGAGCCACAGGGGGAACTCTCATCCAGGAGGCCTTCTCCCTGACCTATGGGGCAGTGCAGCAAACTCCCATGCTAAACTGGACAGAGTAAGCCTGATTTAGCAGCCCAGCCAGAGAGATTTCTCAAAACCCATTACACATGTGCTGTATTGTTGGCAGTGCTGTAGACCTTCTTTCCACCCATGAGAGGATCGGGAAGGGGAAACTCTCGGGTCGCTGGGGCATTTAACTTTCCTTTTGATTGCCCCACCCACAGAGACTCAAGGAGCCCTGCAAAGGGTAGGGCCTCCTTGCAAAACTTAAGGAATTAGGGCCTGTGCTGGAGCCACCCAGTGTAAATAACGGGGTGCGGTCAGATTCTCCCACCATCTGAGAGTAAAACCTTAGCGGATTCCTTTACAATGACCTTATCAAAAGACATAATTGTTGTATTACAAAATTTTAAAACCAAGTATTACTCACGGGCTAAATGACCACATGATACATTTTCCTCTTTTGGGGCATTTGCAAACACAACCTCTAGCTGTATTTGGCGGCTCATCATCATGAGAGAAGCCAAGAGAATGACCCATCTCATGTGCAATAATGGTTGCATCATAGAGTGCTGATTTACCTCTTGCCTGTATACAATTAAACAAAACACAAAAACGAGAAGGAGTTCTGAATTACATATGAACATAAAAAGCCAAATTTTAAGAGTTATGTGATTGCATGAACACACTGGATAATTTCATTTGCAAACTTAAATCTAGAACACAGCAGAACCCTAGAAGAGAACTTTCAGATTGAAGGAATAATAATTTCTTCAAATTACCCTCTGAGATCCTTTTAAGAGGGGGGAAAATGAACCACTGACAAGTGACATGTCTAGCTCTGCCAAGGTCCTCAACCCATAGAATTTTACCCAATAATTCCTACATCAAATTCAGAACTTCTGGTGGTGCTAAAGCATTTCTTTTATAAGGATATCAATTCCTGATTTAAAGACTCCATGTGATGAAAAATCAACCATAAGACGTATCAAGCTGTTCTAATGGTTAACTTTAATGTGCCTTATTTCTCATCCAAATTCATCCAGCTTCAGATTCCTCTCTTTGATAAGCTAAATAGATTGAACTTTTTAAGTCTCTCCCCTTAAAGCAGGTTTTTCAAACTGAATCATTCTTATACCTCATCTGAACCACTTCCAGGGAAAGTGGAGAACCCTTGTTTGGAAGATTAGGAGGAAGAACTTAGTCATAATGGATCACTGATATCAACGTCAGATAAGATAACAGTAGGTAAATAACTTGTACCTATTGCTTCCATATCTTGATTGTAGGAAGTCCACAATCTTTTTTATACTATTTTTAAATAATTGCACAGGACACAGACCTATGGGATTCCTGAGTTCATACTGCTGAAAGTAAGGACTAAAGCAGAAAATATGGTTTAATTTCTCCTCACTTTGGAGAGTGCCTGGATATTTACTTGTAAAAATTATCCAGTGACACAGTGTCCTCTAGGGAGCTATTATAACAAAAACACTAAGTTCTGGGTGTATCAACTGGGGAAATATGTCTCCAGCTGAGTCACTTTCAGTTCAGAGTGTATCACAGTTCCAAAATTACTGACCCTCTTCAGGGTCTTCAATCTTCATTCAGAGCCCAGTTCAACTCCCTCGCTGAGGAGAAGGCCACTCCGCATGTGGCCGTTGGGGGAACCTGGGCCTGCCCACTACTGTGGGTCCTGACCCAGGGACCCTATAAGGAGCAGCTGCCTGCTGCATCCATGTATTAATTGCAGCATTTCTCTGGGTCACTTCCCCGCTGTCCCCCATTACCTTTCCTTCACCCTTAAGTAGGGCTGAAGTTTTGCTTAAGTCTCAGCAGCCAGCCAGGAGCTCCTTCTTGCTCCCCCAGTCCCTGCCAGCAACTGCTCTGTCCCTGGTACTGCAGTTCCTTGAATCAACCTGGTACTGCAGCTCCTTTTATATGGGCTGGCTGGGCCTGGGTTGGCTGCTTCCCAACAGCCTCTCTAGGCCACTTAGAGGACTCACCTTCCCTACTCTTTTCTGGCATGGAGTGTGGCAGGACCACAAGGACTCCAGCAGGGGGGCTCAGGACCTGCTAAACCCCATCACAATGATGATATGATATCTTGGCTGATAAAGTTTGCAGATGGCATATTGGTGGGGAAATAAATAATGAGGGAGACAGATTACTGTTACAAAGAATCATAGAATATCAGGGTTGGAAGGGACCTCAGGAGTTCATATAGTCCAACCCCCTGCTCAAAGCAGGACCTAATCCCAACTAAATCATCCCAGCCAGGGCTTTGTCAAACCTGACCTTAAAAACCTCTAAGGAAGGAGATTCCACCACCTCCCTAGGTAACCCATTCCAGTGCTTCACCACCCTCCTAGTTAAAAAGTTTTTCCTAATATCCAACCTAAACCTCCCCCACTGCAATTTGAGACCATTACTCCTTGTTCTGTCATATGGTACCACTGAGAACAGTCTAGATCAATCCTCTTTGGAACCCCCTTTCAGGTAGTTGAAAGCAGCTATCAAATCCCCCCTCATTCTTCTCTTCTGCAGACTAAACAATCCCAGTTCCTTCAGCCTCTCCTCATAACTCATGTGCTCTAGCCCCCTAATAATTTTTGTTGCCCTCCGCTGGACTCTTTCCAATTTTTCCACATCCTTCTTGTAGTGTGGGGCCCAAAACTGGACACAGTACTCCAGGTGAGGCCTCACCAATGTTGAATAGAGGGGAATGATCACGTCCCTCAATCTGCTGGCAATACCCCTACTTATACAGCCCAAAATGCCGTTAGCCTTCTTGGCAACAAGGGCACACTGTTGACTCATATCTAGCTTCTCATCCACTGTAACCCCTCGATCCTTTTCTGCAGAACTGCTGCCTAGCCACTTGGTCCCTAATCTGTAACAGTGAATGGGATTCTTCCGTCCTAAGTGCAGGACTCTGCACTTGTCCTTGTTGAACCTCATCAAGTTTCTTTTGGCCCAATCCTATAATTTGTCTAGGTCCCTCTGTATCCTATCCCTACCCTCCAGCGTATCTACCACTCCTCCCAGTTTAGTGTCATCTGCAAACTTGCTGAAAGTGCAGTCCACGCCATCTTCCAGATCATTAATGAAGATATTGAACAAAAGCGGCCCCAGGACCGACCCTTGGGGCACTCCGCTTGAAACCGGCTGCCAACTAGACATGGAGCCGTTGATCACTACCCGTTGAGCCCAATAATCTAGCCAGCTTTCGATCCACCTTATAGTCCATTCATCCAGCCCATACACTTCTTTAACTTGCTGGCAAGAATACTGTGGGAGACTGTATCAAAAGCTTTGCTAAAGTCAAGGAATAACACATCCACTGTTTTCCCCTCATCCACTGATCCAGTTATCTCCTCAAAGAAGGCAATTAGATTAGTCAGGCATGACTTGCCCTTGGTGAATCCATGCTGACTGTTCCTGATCACTTGCCTCTTCTCTAAGTGCTTCAGAATTGATTCCTTGAGGACCTGCTCCATGATTTTTCCAGGGACTGAGGTGAGGCTGACTGGCCTGTAGTTCCCTGGATCCTCCTTCTTCCCTTTTTTAAAGATGGGCACTACATTAACCTTTTTCCAGTCATCTGGGACCTCACCCGATCGCCACAAGTTTTCAAAGATAATGGCCAATGGCTCTGCAATCACATCCGCCAACTCCTTTAGCACCCTCGGATGCAGCGCATCCGGCCCCATGGACTTGTGCTCGTCCAGTTTTCCTAAATAGTCCCGAACTACTTCTTTCTCCACAGAGGGCTGGTCACCTTCTCCACATACTGTGCTGCCCAGTGCAGCAGTCTGGGAGCTGACCTTGTTCGTGAAGACAGAGGCAAAAAAATAATTGAGTACATTAGCTTTTTCCACATCCTCTGTCACAAGGTTGCCTCCCTCATTCAGTAAGGGGCCAACACTTTCCTTTACTTTCTTCTTGTTGCTAACATACCTGAAAAAAACCCTTCTTGTTACTCTTAACATCTCTTGCTAGCTGCAACTCCAAGTGTGATTTGGCCGTCCTGATTTCACTCCTGCATACCTGAGTAATATTTTTATACTCCTCCCTGGTCATTTGTCCAATCTTCCACTTCTTGTAAGCTTCTTTTTTGCGTTTAAGATCAGCAAGGATTTCACTGTTTAGCCAAGTTTGTCGCCTGCCATATTTACTATTCTTTCTACACATTGGGATGTTTTTTTCCTGCAACCTCAATAAGGATTCTTTAAAATACAGCCAGCTCTCCTGGACTCCTTTCCCCCTCACGTTATTCTCCCAGGGGATCCTGCCCATCAGTTCCCTGAGGGTGTCAAAGTCCGCTTTTCTGAAGTCCAGGGTCCGTATTCTGCTGCTCTCCTTTCTTCCTTGTGTCAGGATCCTGAACTTAACAATCTCATGGTCACTGCCTCCCAGGTTCCCATCCACTTTTGCTTCCTCTACTAATTCTTCCTGGTTTGTGAGCAGCAGGTCTAGAAGAGCTCTGCCCCTAGTTGGTTCCTCCAGCACTTGCACCAGGAAATTGGGAAGCACCTGGGTAAACCATCACAATCCAACAAAATGTGTTTTAATACAGCCTAATGTAAGATAGCACTTCTGAGAAAGATTAACAAAATTCATGCTGTATCTACAGCAGTGGTTCGCAAACTTGTCCCGCCACTTGTGCAGGGAAAGCCCCTGGAGGGCTGCGCCGGTTTGTGTACCTGCCGTGTCTGCAGGTTCAGCTGATTGCAGCTCCTGCCGCTTCCAGCAGCTCCCATTGGCCTGGAGCAGCGAACCGCGGCCACTGGGAGCTGCGATCGTCTGAACCTGCGGACGCGGCAGGTACACAAACCGGCCCGGCCTGCCAGGGGCTTTCCCTGCACAAGCAGCAGAACAAGTTTGGGAACCACTGATCTACAGGATGGAAGACTCTATCTTGGAAAGCAGTGATTAAGAGAAGGACTTGGGGATCATCAAGGCTAATCGCCTCAATGTGAGCTGTCAGTGCAGTGCTGTGGCACCAGGGCTAATGCAGTCCTTGAATGTATGAAAAGAGATGCAGGAAAAAGAGAGAGCCTGAGACATGAGGCCTGGTATAAGAGGCTTGGTGTGAGGCCTGAGGCCTGAACTAAAGTAGTGGTCAAGTTCTGCTAATATAAAACAAAGTTAGCAAAAGTCAAGCAGTGAACAGAAGCCAGGCTCTGCTTGTGTGTAGGCTCATAGAATCTGGCAAGAACAGGGCTGGTATTGCAAAAGCACACACATTCCTGAGAAGCACTACGCACAAGATACTCACACAAGCACAGTCCAGAAGGGTGGTACTATAACACACCAATAGCAAGTATTGTACAAACACGCTCCCCAAAGGGAACAGGAACATGTTGACCTCTCAAAAATAAGGTCAGATGACAGCATGATGGAAAAAAATGTTTTGATCAAACCAACATGTACAAAGTAAAGGATGGTAATTAACCATGTCAGAGGGGAAATACATAACTTGGTTGTATCAGGGTATAAAAAAGGAGCCTTGGAGGGAGAGTCTGTTGCCAGCAGAGGGGTGAAATGGAAAGTCCTGCCATTCACTGAGTTGAGCCCATTATAAT